GTTTTTGTCTTGGCATGAAAATTTCCATTATGGTAAGCACACTGAAATGAGGTTACTGTCACTACCAACACACATTGACCGTCGCCTGTTAATTTATTCTGGTCTAAAAACACAGCCTTTTACCTTTATTCCTGTCGAAGGATATGATTATATTTTCATTTTCATACCCAAAAAAAGAAGAAGCAGAAGCCCGCTGTCTAATAATGTGACTGAATAAATTTTAAATCCATTTAAAACGTTTATGTAATTTATATTTTAATATTATTTGCAAAAAAACAAAATAATAGAAAAGATTAACGGGGTGGCACGCAGTTTGATTTATATTTTCAGACATTGAAGTAAATAGAAGACGAGAACATGTGATCCCGCGTGGACGATATGACAGTTTGACCAACGGAGAGTTGACTTTTGACCTTCTTGATAATGTTCTGGACATCTTCGTGCCATCCCCATCCACAAACCAACAAAAAATTGGTCAGTCGTTCTCATCTCAACATATGGCATATGCTATTTTTTTCCCCAGTAGAAAATCATACAAACATGCTCTAAATTTTAGTAAGCCATACATTTTTTATATTTTTTAAAATTTTATCTATATTCATTTATAAAGTGAACTGTTGAGATAGCGTTAAAATAATAACACAAAGTTCATGTATAGTCTCACTCATATGCCATTCTGTGTGTTTGTGTGTGTGTATTATATGCATTATTTTATTTTCAAAATATACAATAATAATTATTTTTCTAAATATGTATTTCTTAAATGTTGTTAAAACTGCATGAATAGTAGAAGAAAACTCAAGAAACGATTTTGGAATTTCTCTTTAACTATAAGGCCAATTTAAGATACCACGTATATAGAGAAACATATAATAAACATTTTAAAAAATTATATTAATTAAAGGAGCAAAACCACACTAGGTAGAAAAGAAAAAGGAAGAAAAATAAAATTAACTCCAGAATTTTTTTTTTCCAAAAAAAGCACATAATCCAAATCTGCACTGGAAACGGTTCTCAATTGCTGTCCCTTGAGTTGAATTGGGAGATGATAGCGACTTGATTTCTCAAAGGAGGTTCTTGAGAGGATATTGATTAGTATTGCTTAATCATATTTTTAGTTACTTCAAATGCAAAACCTATAATAAATTTTGTTATTTATAAATCACAAGTAATACAGCTCATATTGTAAATTCCTTATATTACAATTTACAAAACGGTTTTATATTACCTAGTTTAACATAAGAAATTAAAACTTATTTCATTACTGCAATGATTGGGTCATAAAAAAAGGGAATTTCATTCCTCTTATATACGTTTGAATGTTTGAACCTTGTAATAATATTAAAAAATCTGCCTCCAATTACATTCAATGATAATCAAGTTTGCCTCAATAATATTAATTAAATATTACACAATGACATCTAGAGAGAGAAAACTTACTAGTTATCCCCATGAATCATCATTACTAATATACCACTCACCTTTTTATTATATGAGTTAACTTCCGGAAACAAATAGATATATGCCTTATTATAAGTTATTAGGTGATATTAATTACATTTTCGCAAAGATTATTTAATTCTTATTTAAAATCTCATTAATTACAACTTCTTTGATTTCTTGAATGTAACTTATGGTTATGGGAAAAAAGAAGAAGGAAGAATGTAACTTATGCTAGTAAAATTTGGGATTTTATTTTATTTTTGAATAAAATTGACAATGTTATTTGTGAAGGATGATGATATAATGCTATTCAATTTGGGATTTTATTTTATTTTTGAATAAAATTAACAATGTCATTTGTGACGGATGATAACTTAATGCTATTAAATTTTTGCAAAGTGTTTTATGTTTAGGACCACCGAGATTTTGTAGAAACTCTTATACTAAAGCATCGGCAAAAGTATTTATAAAAATTATAAAAAGTTGTATTATTATTATTAAAAAAATTATGAATAATATAGTTTGATTTCTGGAGAATACTTACATCAAGCTTATATATATTTAGTATGCCAAATTCTTCAATACATGACTATGTATCCTAAACTTGAAATATTATCATTTAATTATATGTAAACCCACATAACAAAATACACAATTATTCATTCATAATTAAAAAACTTGACATAATAAATATAAGAAATTTCATCTAAGTATTATTGTTAGAATTTATCCAAATTAGGCATGAGTCACTAAAAGGGCAACACTAGATGGTTGAATTGTAAGTTTGTAACCAACCACAGCTTAACACCAAAAAGCAGTACCCCGTTAATTCGGTGAAACTTTAAAGTTATTTTGGTCAACCAAACTTGCAATAGAAATTGATCCCTTTATTCACATACCCACCTTAAAAAATAACTTGAATTTAAATTCGTCATCCTATTTAAGTAACCCTGTTTGACTGGACAAACCCACCAAAAAAGGAATATTTTTTATTATTAAAAGAAAAATTCAATTTCTATTTAAAATTGTCAACGATCTTCTTACTTGAGAGAATGAAGGAGCTGAGAAAAATATAACACTAAAAAAATATTCCAGGGTCGTTGCATGCCATTGTTTCTCTTACCATATCAGCTCCCTCCAACCTGTTTGACCACCAGAAAAAAAAAAAATCCTCTTTATACCATTATATTATGTACGTATTTGCTTTGGTTGACTATTTCTCAAACTTCAAATCGAAAGCTCTCTTATTTCCTTTTATATCGTGGAGTTAGATGTTCCAAAATGGAAGGAGTAAAAGAAATTCAAAATTCAAAATTAGCACACGCATACTTTTTTTTATTATACTTTTCTTTCGAATTTCATAACAAATTTATCCCGTGATATTGATAGATATGAACAAAAAGATATCTAAATCTCCGCACTTATGGTCCTTATTAAGCAAGAACTTCAACAAACGTTGGCCAAAAAAAAAAAAAGAACTCCAACAAAATGTCTTCTCATTGTGATTAAAAAAAAAAAGGTGTTAAGCAAACATGTTATATTATTGAGACAAAAATATAAATTAATCTCTCCCCTCATAGCAAAGTACGTAACAGTCAAGATCAGACTCATCACAGTAGATCGTAATATTTTATGGCTGGAAAAAAAAAAGATCGTTATATTATATGAAAAAGGCTTCTGGTTTTGAAAGTTGAAAACGTAGACGGCACGTATAGTTGTAAATATATGCATATAATAATTATATATATGTATATATATATATATATGTAAGGAGTTGACTCAGACAAAGATGATGACTGTTATGCATGGTTGTAATATGCACTATGCAGGGATCTGTATTTCATCATTGGATGTAATCCTTGTGATATATATTTATAAAATGTTCTTTTATTGGCAGAAAAAAAGGTGGCTCAACTATCTTAAGATGATAAGGATGGTAGGACATGCTCGGACGTTAACTAGAATTATATTCCAACTCTACAATATATATAATTAAAAATTAACAAAAATGATTAATCGAGGTGAAGGAGAGATTCGTATGTGAAGATCGAGGATCCATTGCTATTGAGTATGATGAACATATATTAACGGAAGTCAAAGGTTTCTTTCTTTACCTTCTTTTTTTTTTTTCAAACCAAGGACAAGTATTCTTTCATGACAAGCCTGTAAAGGCACTATTATATTAGATATTAAATATGAGTTTTTTTTTTCCATCAAGAAGCGCACTTTTTAGAAAGGTAGCTAATAAAAATTAGTTTCAAGTTTAAAGCGGCTGAAGATAATACTCTGAGTTAAAAAAAAAAAAAATCATATTTTGGCTTCATAATGTGAAATCTGAATCCCTTCGGCTAGGCTTAACTTCTATTAATGTGATAACGTAACATAATTACCCAGAAAAATGACGAAAAAAATGAGGAAAAAAGAGGAAGGATGTCGATTTGTCGGCCGTGAAATCTCCAGTTGATGTCAACGCCGACGAGATGGTTAGCTTCAGCTGCCAACCGCCAATTTGGTTATATCCGCACCCAGAGCTTTTGAGCTTTTTTGACCCTTCAACTTTTTCTCCTTTGTTTGCTATCTCCTAATAACCCATTCTCAAAATCAATTACGCTTGATGAAACAAATATCTTAGTGGAGTTCTATCTCATAAAATTTAAGATTAATTAAAAAAAAAGATTAAAATTGTTCGAATCATCCGGCGCAAAAGTAACTCTTTAAATATCTTGATTTAAGTCAACTCTGTGTGAATATGATCGATATGTGAGTTTCCTCTGCCACGCGAAAAATTGTAATACGCATTATGCGATTTTCTCATAATAATAATATTCTTTATTTTGAGAGTTAAATTCAATACTTTTTTTTATATTTGGTTTAAAGGGAACATCTGCCAAACCACATGCAAAAGATGTCGATAGTCTTGCTTCTCAATCAATTTGTTGCTATCATTTTATCACCTATCTATTTATTGCTTCTGAATATTAGCACTTCTTATAAATTTTATATCATACATATATTAAATATACGTTGATATAAATTTATAGAACATCAAACTATTTATTCGTAGTGATATTGTGTTTTTTTTTTAATTTTCTTTGGGCGCATGCGGTTCATATGATATTGTATAATAACCCATATAATTCTCACAAAAAAATATTTAGGCTGATTTGAAATCCAAAGTATATGTAAGACAATTTATTTTTAATAATGGTTATATTTATTTTATTTGGATAAAGAAAAGATCAACAATAATTGACTCAAGTGGAAGGAGCTCAGTTAATGAGTTAATTCTCCTTGGTTAAGATTTAATAGTTTGAATTATAAATGAAAAAAAAATCATATTGAGAAAGCCACCCTAATTAAATGAATTTAACCGAATATTATCATATCCCAGAATAATAATTTGGGTTATACACACACACACACACACACACAATATAATACAGACAAAGAAAGGCAAAAGGAATTTTTCAAACCGCCTATAGCATGATATTTAATCTAAATTTAACTTATTAATTTAAAAATGAGGTTCCTTGAAGCAAACGATGCAAGCTCTCTCCCCCTTTTGACACCGACTCTTCTTCAATCATGGTAACCAATTTGAATGTTTCCATTTCCATGATTCCTCTGTTTATAAATATCGAATCTTCATCTGCGTACTGATTTGCTCTTCCCATCGTTTTCATTTTGCCGCAATCTAACAGAGTAATCCCACACAAACTCTTCCTCTTCCTTAATTGTTTCATGTGTTTCTTAAAGGCGGGGAATCCTGTGCAGACCTCCCACAACGTTGTTGATGAACACACAAACGTTAGAATAACAAACCCTACTGTTTCTTCGTCTCTTCCAATCGTCTTCCCCGGTATGGATAGGGACAGAGAGATGTCTGCTATGGTCTCTGCTTTGACCCACGTTGTCACGGGAGATATTCCTGGTGATTCCAGAGAAATTTCTGGCGGTGGCGGTGGCGGTGGCGGTGGAGGTGGAGGCGAAGGTGGCTCTGTTACATTAAACTCGCCGTCGGATTCAACAACGCCGTCTTCGTGTTCTTCGTCTTACGGTGGTAGCTCTGTTTTGAAGAGAAGTAGAGAAGATATCATTAGAGGCTCTTCCCCTTCTATTATTCAAACAGGTTGGTGATGCAATATATTAATTCACTTCTAATAATTCTTTCCCTTTATTTAAACTCATAAATTCTGATGTTTTTTTTGTTATTATTTTTATTCCAATCTGGGAGGTTGATAGCCCCGTGCCTGTTTTTATGCTTATAAATTAAGAAAAACAAAGTTTCTGGAAGTGTTTGCAACAGTCAACAGAAGCTTATAGATGTTAGAAACACAACTTGGTTCATTTTTACCTTGAAAGTTCCTAAACTCTCATCAGAATTTTCAGAATATATTAAACAATACATTCCATGAGAATATAGAAACAAGCAAATCTTGCAACCAAGATAATTGCATGTTTCTGTCAGTTCTGAGAATTCTGTAGTAATATTCTGCTTGGGATTTTTGGGTGCATATTGATTGAATTTGACTGGATCTCGAGAATGTTGTGAATGCATTCACAATGCAATAACCAAAAAAAAAAAAAAACGATCCTGTCTTATTAGTGATTAAGAAGTGGAAATAATAAGATTGTGTGAATGAACACGTACAGTTGCAGGAGAAGGTTCAAGAGGAGAGAGAGTTCAAATGGGAAATGCAGTGTATGAATATAGCTGTAATACAGAGAATGTGAGAGGTTCAGAAGAAGGAAGAAGGAAGTACCGAGGAGTGAGACAGAGGCCATGGGGCAAGTGGGCAGCTGAAATCAGAGATCCTTTTAAAGCCGCCAGAGTTTGGCTGGGCACTTTCGAGACGGCGGAGGCGGCGGCCCGTGCTTACGACGAAGCTGCCCTGCGTTTCAGAGGAAACAAGGCCAAGCTCAATTTCCCAGAAAACGTCAGGCTCCGGCAACCTACGACCACGACGGCGGCGACCCATTTGAGTGGTTCGGGTTCTGCAAGTACCCTTTTGTCCATTCCGTTGTCCACCGAGCCGATTGTTCATGCCGAAGCTCTTCACCACCATTCTCTCCTGAGTTCTCAGCCGGCGTTTTCTGGTGATTTTTATACGCCGTCGCAGTTTTCGGAGTTTCCCATGAACTTTTATGATCCGATGATTATGTCATCTTCAATGCCTCATCATTTTGAGTCGTCGACGTTGCCGTCAGCTTTGTCATCGTCGTCATCGGCTTCGTCTTCTACGTTGGCATCTTCTATTAGCTCCCAGCAAGGAGGTTTGCCGTTTCCGGGTTGGGTCATGCCGGAAACGGGTCCGGAAAGCGCTTCCGAACAGGGACCATCAGCATGGTCAACTTCGGGTCATAGTGCTTCTTCCTCTGTATGATCCAATAATTATTATGACTAATCATTTAATCTCTTTTTCTTTTACGTAATCATAAGGATCAATTCATTTTACCTAGTGTTGTTTCATTGAGCATGCGAGGGGGAGGCGGCTAGTGGGATCTTATAGAAGGGATGAATTTTAATATTAATAATCCCTTTGAATTCTGCCATTTTTAGAAGGGAGAGATGTGAACTAAACGAAGGACTGATCAATTTTGTAGCCCAAAAAAAATCAAAAAAAGGGACTGATCAATCTTGCTAGTGTACGCAACTATACTAATAATAGACATTGAATGCTGAAAGCTAAAAGTTTGTCTTAGCAAGGTTAACTAATTTTTATCAAACGCAAATTCAATTAAATGAAGAAGAACAATCTATTTACAAAAGAAAAATAGTAAGTACTACCTCCGGCTATTAAGACCTTATTTAAATTTTATTTTGGTCCTAAATATAAGATATCAATCTATTTTGTTTCTCATGTTTATATATTTTTTCTAAGGTAATCTTTTTAATAATGATAGTTTTAACCAATACATTTGATTAATAAGGATATTTTAGGAAAGACAATACCTATTTATTACAAATAACTAACTTAATTTCTTTCCTTAATCTCCTCAAATTAGTCAACTAGATCTTATAATTATGACCGAAAGTAATAGTAATTAAACTAATACCAAGGCAATCAACTATTTGAAGTGTCAAAAAATAGTTAGCTTGTACTTCCGCGGATTCTAAACATAGGTCCTAATAATTAGTATACAAATATTTAAAAAATAGTTAAGTTACTTATTGGTAATAATTAGGTGTCAGATTCTTTAAAATACCTTTTTTAGATGAAAAGCTCATTATCTATGCAATTAATAAGAATAATTTAGAAAAAATTAATTCAGAAGACAAAATATATTGAGATTTTATATTTAAAATCAAAGCAAACATTTTTTTAAATTGAATCAAAGCAGACATTCTAACTAATTCTTGTATATAGAGCTAGTGGGACTGATTTTTAGTTATATTTTGGCGGCCAAGCTGCATTATTATATTCAAATAGGAGATCTTAGAAATTTATCAGAATAAAACTAATTTTACAATCACTAACCACGGACATAAATCACAAGAAACTAAGGAATGCTGCTTCAGTACCCTCTAAAAATATGGTTCATGGTCTCTTAGAATGCTTCAAGACGCAATAAATGATCTAAAATCACAGCTTTATTGATTGCCTCTCCTAGTCTCTACCCTCAGCCTCGTACACATGAAGAAAGCCCCAAAAACACAACATCTCTCTCCTCTTACACATAGCGCTGCCAAACATTATATTTTTAGTATGGTAAATATAAGATCTAGTTTGTAGTACTATATATAGTCTTAATTATACCATTTCGTTTGTAGATTACAAATTAGATCTCATAATTAGGACTGAAGATAGTATTTATCATTAGTATATTATATTTGAACATTATCGCATCTCATTGAAATTAAATCTCCCCAGTAGCATCTTCATTAATTAGTGTTGATGTTGGCTATTTTTCTTTTATAGGAAAAAAACGACTTAGGTGAATTAGATCCCAAAAGCTTACTAGGATTAGAACATGCTTTCAGGTTCAAAAAACGTTTACAGAAGTACTTATTAATCGCTTACCCACAAAAATTCGAACTTATGACTTTGTGGATTATAAACAAATTCCTTACCAACTGGATTAACTCTTCTTAATGATTTTGGCTATTTTATATCAACATGTATAATTAGTAATCACTTAATATTTGGGATGCATGTAAATATTTGTCTATACTCCAACGAGACAGGCATCCACGCGGGAAAGGCGGTCCCCAAGTGATTGACCATGATGACCACCAGCGGTTGACGACAGAGCATATATAATGATATATAAATATAACGAAATCTTTGGCTCACCACGCAAGCGTGTAATTCATAGCAGAAGAGGACAGGTGGGGGAAATTTGATTATCTTGTTAAAAGGATCACTGATCAAGCAAGAGAGATTCCCAAAAGAAAAACACAAGTTTGAAGAAGAGACTTGGACGATAATTCCACGTTGCGTTTGAGCAAAGTAAGCCATTTACTAATTTATTTCTTGGAAGCATCTTTTTGCCTTTTCACAGTCCCCACATGAAAATGAGTACGTGATGGCACTCCTCACTTGCCTCTTCAACATGCATGTTCACAACCGGAACCAAGTAGCGTGTTTATTCGTTTACAAGCAACCCACCGGTCGACACAAATAATTATATTCTGATGGCTCCCATAATTTTCAATTTATAGACAAGCACAAGTTTTGTATGATGTTTGTGCTACTACAATCGGTTATTATTATAACAAAACTTCGACAATCTACAGCCTTCTCTTCTAAGTAACACGGATTGAAGACTAATTAGTCAAAATACCCATTCAGAAAACGCTAAAACACTTCATTTCCACGCGGAGTGAGCATCAAGAGCTCCGAATATCAATTAGAAAGGGATTTGGTATGTCATCTGTAACTAAAAATCATTGGACGAATGACGCGACATGAAAGAAGTCTGAGACGTATGCCTTATAGGATCACCATACTTCCACGACACTTGACTATAACAACAACGAACTATATCGTTTTTCATCCTTAATTTCTCACAGGTTTTCCCCCCTCTTTAAAGACGTGTTCTTCGAGAGATGAACAAGCACTAAATATAAACAATTCTCCGTACAAAATTTCGAACTTAATTCAATATGTAATGAGAAATTAACCTTTTCTAAAGTAACAACAAACTTTATTCTATCAAGTCAACTACATGGATTATATCACATCATTGTGTCCCGCCAACATTTCAAAATACTTGGGTAATTAAAGATGCTACTCATACTGAGATGATTACCATTTAATTCAATCCCATCCTTCCATAAAAGAAAGGAAAATTTTGTTCAAGGACTCCAAATCAGCGCAATAAATGGGCAACACCGTGCGCAAATCAACTTATGTTAAGGGAAAATAGGCTACAAATAAACAGGTAAATTTAAGTAAGACAAAAGAATATAAATGGACACGCACTCAATTTTTCTCCACTGCCACAAACAAGGCCGTTAAGGATCCTGCCATTAGTCAGTGGTAAAATATGTATGAGTAGTATACACCAATGTTACTTTCAGTACTAAAAAAAGGTCTATCCAACTCTACCCTGAACGCCTGAGACAAAATAAAATGATAAAGGGGCTTCGATCAATGCTATTCCTCGCCGTCTCAACCAGTGGCAATTCAGATGATCACCCTGATCACGCGACTTCAATCCAAAATCACCTCTTATGTAACAACCTGCAATTAAGGGGGAAAAAGTATCATGACAAAAAAGAAACTGCTCCAGAAATGAACATGCTTCCATGAATCGCATATTTCTCTTCCCTCCCCACAAGTCCCTCTAGAAACAATGACTAGAGTGGGCAATAAATTGCCCACACGAACCTTTTTTAAACCTTCAATGCAGCCTTATGCACCATGGTTTCTTTATGTATTTGATGACAGCTCTTCTCCACAAGATCAAGCAATTTCTCCAAGTTTGCTGCCCATGAGTTTAAGATGTCGTTGCTATCCTTAGCAGTTTGGAAACAAACTATCCCCATAGGTCTGTCAATCTTTGCCACCAGTGCCTTAGATACAACCATATCGGAGAGATGCTTCTCGGCCTCCTAAAGATTGCAAGGAAAATTAATTAGGGCCTCCACCAACAAATTGAAATGCATCTGAACGCTTCAAAGCATGCAAGTGAAAAAGAACCATGCCCACTAGACATATTATAATAAAAATAATAAGTCTTTGATAATAAAGTAACACAGCCCTTCATCCCTGCCAATCCCAGCTCCTCCTTTTTCCTCTGTTTACATCGTGCATGAACTTGGCTATTTTTCCATAATATTAGTCATATCACATATGCCATTTAAACGATAACACTTTTGGCACAAAATCAAAAATTATCATTATATACCTGGATGCTGAGACACAAAAGCTGTGCAAGTCTCTTCAAGGTGATCCTCGAATAGTACTTTGACACAACAAGAATGTTCTGCCAAGGAAAAAAACCCATTAATGTTTGCGTGCCAAAAAACGTGTGGAAAATACCACATGTCCCATAATCCCTCTCAACCAAAAAGCATGTAATAGTGCCAATCAAATTACATGTTCTATAATTCTTTCCCTCAGATCTTCTGCTGCTTTGTCACCCAAGGATCCTCCAAGCAGGTTCTTCTCATTCTCAAACTCATTCTTATATGCATCCCAAAGACCTGTCCATTGAATGACCTCCATGGTGACCAGCTGTTTCAACAGCAACCTGTGGCACAACGTACATAAAAAATATCAGATGTAAATATTATGTACTTAAAGCAAATTAGAGAGGAAGAAGATAAGCAAGAGACACTTAAGATAAGGACAACATACTTGAAATTTGGAATTTCCGACAGATTTTTATCTTCCAAGGTGGAATTGAGCAGGCTGGATTGCATTGGATCATATGGGGCTAAGACTAAGTACCAACATATTTTCCTCAGGATCTATGGCAATTAGCAGTGGGAAATTTAGATAAAAAATAATGTCAGATTATAGTAAAGCTTAACAATACAGATAAAGAAGCTCACTTAAAAAGTAAATAAATAAAGAAACACTTACTGGTATCCACTGGGCAGGATTTTCTTTGACTGATGGAATCTCATATATAGCCTTATAGCACCGGCAAATCTCAAGGTAATCATTGTTATGAGAATAATACCTACATGGGTAAACAGAAACCAGGATAACACACTTATACAGGATATTGCATCATGAAAGCAAACAACATGCTACAAACGGAGACTTCCAACACACATTCAAATCACACAAACTCACGCAAAGGCAACCAACTTAAATGGACAAGGCATTGACAACATTCATCAGAGACAAATGAATGCACCATCATCCAAGTATATCATAATTTTTTAACATGACAATATGTATCATGTATCAAGCAAATTATATGCAATACATAATAACTTATACAACAACTGATTAAGAACATTCTATACAACATATCAACAGATACGAACTCAGTCCATATAAAACTAGTTATGCATATGTTATCAGAGTCCAGCATGCAACTGTGCTTATTCTGGGCCTTTTTATGATTGTCTTTCATTAAGGTTTAGGCTCAAAACTTCCAAATCCGAAGTTATAGATTTCTCTGGAGGTGGAGAAATACGTATGTAT